TCTGGAGGTTGCTCTGATGATTCTTCTGGAGGTTGCTCTGATGATTCTTCTGGAGGTTGCTCTGATGATTCTTCTGGAGGTTGCTCTGATGATTCCTGCTCTCCCTCAATAGCTGCCTGTTGCTCAGCCAGATTGCGGTTCACACTGATTTCTAGACTGAAGCGAAAATCGCCACTGTTCGGGTTGGTCTGGCTCACAGCCCGCCATGACTGATTCCCACGATGACCGGTTCTAGTTGTGTTGCCTGTGCGCCTCACAGTGTTCAGCCAGTCAAGCAGACTATCACCACTGGCAGGATCCTCTGAGCTTTCCGGTTGTTCTGAAAATGAGCAGAATTAGCAAGTGAGAAATCATATTCTGACATAAAAGCAGTCAAAGAATGAGGAAAAAACAAAACAATATATAGAGAAATATCAAACGTACCAACTGGATCTTCTACACTTTCAGTACCAGCGGTGTTATTCTGTTGCTCAGGACCATCTTTGATTTGCTGTAGTCTATTGAATAACTCATCTTGTGTTACCTCGCCTGGAAGAAACATCACAAAATAACATTCTGTTATTAACAAAGAAAAAAAAAAAACATCAGCAGTCCATCTGCTCTTTAAGGGTTAAGTTCGCTTCCTCTTCTCAAGCAGCTGGTAGAAAGTGCCAACTTAACTCCCTACAATAAAAACAAATATTGGATTTAATGCAAGGAAAGAGGGGAAGCTGACAGAAGAACAAGCTACATAGAACTACATATCTTTCAGCTAGCAACCTAAAATAAATACATTAAAAATATATTATTAATAATAATCAGTACATATATTTTGATTGTTCATTTTTCCTTTGATCACAGCAACAGGACAATTGACTATGTGCACGTTAGCATATGCTACTTCCGGTGCGGAAACTCCTGTGGGGAGCTTTGTTTCCGGTGTCCTATTCGCACCTTGTTTACCGGCCAAAACAAGTTAAGCAAATGAACAAATCAAGCGGCCAGCAGCAACCATCCTTCCGGTTGTTGCTGGAGGCAGAGGAAGGACTGGTCCGCCTCCCACTGGTGGCAGGGCTCGACCAAGACCACCTATCGGCCTGGAGGAGCCCAGCTCCCTGCCCTTCCTGCGACTTGCTCACTTCTTCCTACTAAATGATGATGATGAAGACCAGCCCCAGGGGCTGACCAAAGAAGAGACTCACATTTCTATAGATGTCTTGGGCATTTACCCAATATATCTGTAAATGATGTTCATCGACTTGTCGATATTTTTTCCCTGCGCCTCAGAGCAAAAGAGAAAAGGGATTCAAATGTTATATTTCTCAGCTGTCCCTCGTTTATCGCGGGTGTTATGTTCTAAAAATAACCAGCGATGGGTGAAATCAAGCAGCAAGTTTTATTTTTTGACGGTGCAAAACGTTTCGTGGACATCCAGTACTGCACTTCAGAGTCACACTGCTAGCGATCGATGCAGCGATTCTGTACTGTACAGGAGAGACGTCACGGAGGAGATCGTCTGCAGCGATCAGGACGCAGGACGCAATGCGACGTAAAAAAATAAGCATGCAAACTTCCATCCATCCATTCGCTTCCGCTTATCCTTTTCAGGGTCGCGGGGGACTGGAGCCTATCCCACCTGTCATAGGGCGGGAGGCGGGGTACACCCTGGACAGGTCGCCAGTCTGTCGCAGGGCCAACACACAGGGACAGACAACCATTCGCACTCACATTCACTCGCACATTCACACCTAGTGGCAATTTGGATTATCCAATTAACCTATCCCCACAAGCTGCATGTCTTTGGACGGTGGGAGGAAGCCGGAGTACCAGAGGGAACCCACGCCATGACTGCAAACTTGCACTAAAAAAATCCACGAAACAGCGAGGTGAAAGGTGAACCGCGTTACATCGAGGGAGCACTGTAATTTTGAAGGTAAGTTACAACATACCCTTCGTAAATACTAATGTATAGAAACCCTTACCAGCAATCATTCATTTTTTGTGTGGCTTTTTTTCACAGTTTGTTAACATGCTGTCTAGGTGTGTACTTGACTAGCTGATATCAACATAACGGGGGAAACATCTGGTTTGACTATTCTTCACCTGTAGTTTGAATGCTGAACATTTGCCTGTTTAAATCATAAGACCAGTCACTATACAGAGATGTGCTTCTGAATGTGGACGATGTGTCTTCTGATTTTGTAATGCAGTTCTGCTTGTGTTGAGTGGTGTAAACAACTGATCATCGAAACTCCTTACAAAGTTGATCATTAGATTTTTTTATGACACAACAGTGGTGAGTGTTCCCACCTTCTGCTCTTTGTAACTTAACGCGATCTTTCCGTTTTTGAGTTTTGGACATGATTTTGGAGAATATCTTCGCAGTAGCGATTGACCGCAAAGTAAAGCAACCGGAAATGTACAACCCCACATCCGGTCTCAAACCAGGAAGTTAGCATTTTCTCGTGCACAGGGTCAACCTCTAGACTTACCAGGGCACGACACTCTCCAGTCATAGCCCTCTCCTTGTAGGGTGCTCCACTACACGCTCCAAACTTACTTTCCCACTCCCACTCTCCTGGGACAGAAATGGATTGGATGTCTTCAATAGTCCATAGGAGGTGAAATTTCAAGGATAGCGGCAAATCCAAAACTAGCCATAGGTACTTAAGCTTAACATTTACTTTAACTTCTACTGACAAGCAGGAGCTATGTAAAGATGGGAGGACAGAAATTAGACCAACAGGTCATAAATTTTTATATCAATAAAACTGGCAGAAGACAGCTAAAATAAGATAAACCAAAAGAGGGGCTTTCGAAAAGGACCATCTTTTTCTCTCATGACAAAGTAGGAGAAAATTACTCAGTGACAGGACAACTGAAAATAGAAACTACATATGATATGTATGATGCGGAAAACCATATTGACATCAGCATATAGTTTAGTGCAGGAAATTCCATTACATCAGATTTTATTTTCAAACCATAATTTGGGGCATCAGACTATTTCACATAGTTTGGTAAAGGCAATAAAATATAACTAGAAAGTTGTACACTTTAAACTGTGTGGTTGATGAATAGCGTTTTATAAGAAATGCCTGTTGACAGTTTGTGTTTTAGTTAACTAATGCTGGGCTTACACTGTGCGATTTTTGGCCGATTTTTGAGTTGTGCGACCGTTTTGGCGATCGGCCCGATTTTGGCCTTCATCGTGCGTCGTGCATCGTGTAGTATACGTGGGGTAACGAGAAGCAATTAACCCCTCACGACCAGCTCCTGATCATTAATCGCTTGGTCGTGAGGGTGTCACCGCAGCTTCTCACACTGCACACGCGCAAACACAAATGTCAGCGAAAAAGACTGCGCAGCACGGCAGTGCAGCGTGTGATCTGGACACAAGCGATGGAGACACAACTTGTAGAACTATGGCAAGCTCATCCGAGCCTTTTCGATGTGGCCTCACAAAATTATCACAACCACAACCGTGAAAATAGTTGGATCTACATTGCTGCTCAATCACAGCTGCCTGATCAGTGTTTTTCATTAGCAATTTAGCAAAGTTGATGGTGGTGGTGTGCGTGTCTGTGTGAGTGAAAGAGAGAGGGAGAGCGAGCGACAGAATTTCTGTTATAACCTTCGTTTTTATGGACGCACAGTTTGAGCACTCAGGTCGCATCAGAGCATCGGGCCGTATAGTGTGAGCCCCTGCATCGTGACCTACTAACCCTAACCCCTGCGAGTCAATCGTGCAGTTTGAGCAGAAGCTGAATAATGCGACTAAAAAAAAAACAAAAAAACAATCGCAGTGTAAGCCCAGCATTAGAGGTAAAGCTACTATTAAAAAAACAAAAAAAAACAAAAAACAAAACAAAACACATTCCAACTACAATTACTACAAAAGATTGTTCAAAGACAAACTAACTCTACTTTCCACAAACGGCCAAGAGATTTATCCACCAAGAAATCTGGGTTTGAAAACAAAAAACAAAAAGAAAGCCTGTATGTGAAAAATACTGCACTGTGAGTGTGATCTTCAATGCTTACTGCTCAATCAAGGTGCCTTGTGTGTGAAATTATTTAACTTTCTTCATATCAATAGCATATTCCTACCTTCCTCCCAGTTAAACAGCTGAAAACTTTTAAAGAGAGGTGCGAGTTCAGCAGAGAACATAGAAAGGGAGCGCAGAAAAGAAAAAGTACTCTTTACTTGTGTAAATCATTAATACTTTAATTGGGAGGTTTTAACAAGACTAAAGAATAGACAGGTTAAAGATTTACTACCTGGAGTGCCCAAAAGGTTGTTGTCTCTCATGAGACGGTAGTCTTCATCACTGAGATTGTTGACGAACTGGTAAAAGGCCTCCTCCCTGTCCAGGCGGTCCAGCTGCCTCCTGCGCTGTGACTCTGGCAGTTCACTGCCATTCTGTTCCACGCTGTCAGACCCCTCCATTGGTTCAGAAGGGAGGGCGGACTAGAGATGATCCAATATTCAGCAAGATCCAGTTGCTTCAGAAAAAAGTAAACAAAGGATTAGGTGCTGATCCAAAAGACATGAGCATGCCCTCCTGCAACTGGGATTCATTACCAACCACTCATGAAATGTATTATTTGATACATCAAGTATTTTCACAAAGTATAGCAGTTATTGTAGTGATGACAGTTAAGAAGAGAGGCAACTGGGCATCAAAATTAGGCATAACCAGGCACCACGCAGCATCAAATAAGAATAACGACACATTAGCAAATGTTAGCACCGGTAACGTCTTCAAAGCATAACATTGAGCCACACTTGTAAGTTGAGCCCATATCGAAACGCAAAATACGATTTCCTCGAAAATGTCACATGTATTTTAAAGTCGTATAAATAACTCAAATAATATAATGATCTATGTGACTGTAAGTCGTACGATGAAGCCATATGTTGCTCAAAGTCAAAGTCGAGATAAAAACAAAATGGCATCATCTAGCTTAGCTTACGCTGGCTAGCGACCAATTAGCATGCTACATAGGTGCTAACGCCGGCTACTTCCATCATTTTCAGCCATAAAAGAGGTCCCATCGTGTGTCTAATGACCTGTAAATCAAACAACAAGAAACTCACTGTGTAGTGACTGCAACATCATCCAAACAAGATCATTCAATGACAAAGCAATCCCGGTTATGCTGCGCTAACACTAGTTAGCTTCCACGTCAACTAGCCGAGTTAGAAGCGTTACAAACGTCTTACTCAACATTAGCTTTTAACTTTGTGCTAGTGCTCGCTTTTACACCAGCCCCATGTGAATATATGAGGCAAAACAAAGCTGAAGCTGGAATCGTCTTTTGAACTTGATATTATTCTTGTTTACCGTTACTGGACATTGACTATAAACATCACGGTTTCATTAAAAATGCATTGAACTACCATTAGTATCACCGCAAGCTAACAACGTCAACCAGTGACGTTAATAGCCATAACCTAACCAAAGCGATCCAGCTAAAATTAGCTAGCTAAAGAGAGTAAAGTTAATTAGAACGGATACACCATCTGTCACCAAACCACTAATAATTACCTGCTTGGCGATGTTAACGGCAGCGTTATCGTACAACCCAGCTGCCCTTTTAATATTCGCCCAGAAACGATACACTGTTTAGCTAAGTGCGACTGCCAGATTCCATTTTCTTTCTTGTAGGAAGCCTAAAATGATTTTCCGGAAACGGACGAAACAATTGGGTTTTACCCCGAGTAATTCCTTACAGGCACTGGCAAATGTCTCGCGTTTAGGCGTAGCGATGGAGGTCGGGTGAGACAGGCGCAGCGTTCCTGAGAGACTGAAATCTGGGCGATAAATATTTTCGGATAAAAAAGATTAAAAAAAAAGACGAACAAGGATGTTTGTTGACAAGGGGGCTCCGCTGGCGAGCTGTAGCGTCGCTGTGCGGTGGCTAATGCAAAATACTAGGTAGAGTTTTGAATTTTTAAATGGCCAGCATAATACAACTGTTTTTTAGGAAAGTTAGAAATTAATACATTAAAACAATGAAGAAAAAAATCTCAGTGTTTTTGCATAAATTCTCAAATGAGATTTAGCTGTTTGGCGGACAAAAGAAATATCTTATTTGAGAATTTACGAAACATTAGTTTCATACAGTATAGTTCGTATTGTTTACATCTTTTACAATTATACGCCCTGTGAATGTTGTACATAAAAACAAGATAGAATGCATTTAATATAATAATAATGTGGGGACTGAATGATGCAAGTTTATAGTTCAAAATTTCAACTGCTGTAACCAACGGCATAAATGCATAAAGTCTTTTGGGATAAATAAAGTATTTTTCATCTCATAGTCTCATCAGCTGAAAGATTTGCTCTACCTACCTTTTGCCAGGAAACTGTCATTTTATCAAACCAGTTAGTTATTATCTTGTAGGGTGACTTCATTATGCCATTACATTGATGTGGCCTACCATTTAAGACACCACAAAACTACAGTGTCTATAGTTTGATTCTTTGCTTTAAGTAATAGCCATGTCTTCATTTGTTGTGTCTTTGAAGATGTGTTTTGTAATAAATGAAATAAAGCTTTTGTAGTACCACTTCAAATGGCTTCCAACTACAAACAAAAAAATGGGTCTAAAAGACAGTCAAAGCATTTAAAGTCCTGAAACAACCCAAGTGAGGAAGTGAGGAAGAAACACCAGAGACTTATATCAGTCCCTGTATATATTTTTAAGGCCAGGAGGGAGCATTATTGCTACAGCATACCAGAAGAAACCCAGTGATGATTGTTTGGTAGTAGTGCTTACAGGTAATTTGTAAACCAGCATGGGGAAAAATTGCTCACAAACTAACAAGACACAAATTTGTGAAAATTACCTGGAAATACCATCAAGAAAACCCACTGGGCAGCTATTGAAAGCCTCTGAAATGGCTTCAGCTTCATTGTTCTAACACAGAGAATGGATTACCCAGCAGAAGTACTGTGTCATTTTTAATGAACTCCGCACATCAGATTAGCCCGTAAAGCTTTCTACTAAAAGAACTCCCTTTGTTTTACAGCAAATCTGCCAAAATGTATAACAATGTGTTGCGTAATTATTTAGTTTTTTTTGGTTCCCATGATTACACTCAATAAACCTGAACTATGAAAACATGTCAATCCCTTTAAAATGTTGCTTTATAGCTCTATAATTTTCTTTTTTTTAAAGATAAAAACAGTTGTCCTAATGACAAAGCTGGCTTATGGCTGTCTATGCAGCATAAGCACATACTGACAAAACAACAAGCATCTCATTTAATAACCACAGGTGTACCTGATCCATTGCATTAGACATTCCATCTTATAATTTGCTCGCTCCCTTATCTGCTACGGGTGACTAAAGAACAAAAACAATGCTAATACCAGCTGACAATTTTGGAGGCATACATCACAGGATCTGTTTATGGTCTCAGACTGTATCTCCAGCTCCAATTAAGCATGCCAGAATGAGTTGCAGTGTGGACCACAGCAGCCCAGCTCAGAGTTATGGATGAGCAGTCACTCTAGCAATGCCTGACCCTGAGTGCTAATTAGATATGACATTAAAATAACATGAGCCAAAGCCAGACTTGTGCAGAAATTAAAACGACTTTCGTCTAAAAATCGTCCAATATAACAACTAGGGAAAGACTAATTGGAATTATTAAGGTTGTTTTTACACTTACACGTTTTGTGGCACGGACAAACTGAATGGAATTGATCAGATTTATCCACATCACTGTTATTTTAGTAGTATCACAGGGAAAGGTGGAATATTTACTTTGAAGAAATGCTACGTGGCCTTTACTCTTGACATCTTCATGTAGTGTCTGCAATATTAGTTTTATTTTCCACAATACTCCACATCACAACCTTTACTAATTGTGTTTTGAATGGAGTGAAGCTGTTTGCAGATATGCTGGTAGAGTGAATATTTGTAAATGTACTCCAGCGTGATAGTAGTTCCTGGTTAAAGCAATGGATGGGTACTATATTCAAATTAGCTTTAAATAAGCTACTAGAGTGAAGCTAAGTTAACCTGTTAGCAGTCGGACGTACCGCCCACGGTACATTGGATGGTTTAGGGGACTAATTGGACTGCTAAGGGGCTAGAAAAGCCAGGAGAGAAGCTATTAGAGATTTGTAAATTTACTCCAATGTGATGTAGTTCCTTTTGAAAGCAATGGGTGAGTAGTAAAAAAACAAACAAAACAAAAGACAGCCCAACTCTCAAAAAAATACCGTTTTAAGTTATACATTTAAATTTTATTTAAATTAAATTAAAAGCTAGTAGAGTGAAGATAATCTAAAGATGCTGTTAGAAGCTAACAGCAGAATCGAGATTTGTACAACTACTACTTTATTACTCTAATGTGATGTAGTTCCTGGTTAAAGCGATGGGTGGGTGGTAAAAAAAACACACACACAACCCAACTGTCTTTAGAAAGCAGCATTCAAAATCTTAATTTCAATTAAAATAAGATTTAAATAACCTACTGGAGTGAAGAGTAGCTAGCGAAGCTAGTAAAACCTAGCAGATAAGCTAGAGAAGCTAACAGAGAATTGCAAATTTACTCCAATATAATGTAGCTCATTTTTAAAAGCAATAAGTGGGTGGTAAAAAACACAACCCAACTCTCTTCAGAAAGCAGCATTCAAAATCTTATTTTAATTTGTATATTTACTCCATAAACATTATTACAAAACTCAGCAAGTTACCAATATTACATTATCACCATACAGGCTTGATCACAAATATTTAAAACCTTTGCAACAGTTACAACAAAACAAAAAAAACAAAATAATACTCAAATAATTTACATGAAAATCTATAAAACAGCAAATTGTTCACAAATTATATTTTTTTCCAAGTTTTCATTTTTTTTCTTTGCTTATTTGTGTTTTGCACAGTAACACAACACTCTCACAACAAGATCATGGTCTTATTACAAAACTCCCAACAAAATGTAAATATTTCTAGTTTTCTGTTGATACTTTCATATTTTGGTTTTTAAAACCAGAAACTTGTCATTGTATATCCTTTCCACTGCCCATAGAGGCGCATAAAAGGTTACTCACACACACGAATACTTCACAGCACTTTCTAAGAAAAATATACACTTACAAAATATGTTACAAATTGGCACACAAAAAATATACAAGATTTTGTAGTGTCAAGAGTTCATTAAGATTCCTTCTGGTAACAACTCTAGACAGTATATATAAAGCTCGGTAATCTTTTAATGAAAAGAGCAAAAGTAATTCCAATCAGTGTCAAAGAATCATGAAGTGAATACATCAAACATAACATTATAATATACATTCATAAAGAGGGTTAGGAACCTAATCTATTTTGCATTTCTTTTTTTTTTCATTAACACTGGTGAAATGAAACATACCGAAAAATGAAAATAAAGAAATCGAAACTGAACGGTAAAGAAAAGAAAACAATTGTCAGCTTTCTTAGCACCATTAACATGAGGCAGCTCAACAGTGGCACATTTTAAAAACAAACCGAAAAAAAAGAAAGAAAGAAACTTTATGAACTCAGAGAAGTACATTCAATTTGACAATAGGCAGAAATGAGAGAAGGCAGACTAAATGGGCTTGCAGCCCATGTGGAGCTTCCCATCAGCAGCTTGTCTTGGTCCTAACCCTGATACACTATAGAAAAGAAACAAAGGATCATGGCAGAGAGGAGAGAGAGAAAAAAAAGAGACACAGAAAGATTGATTATGATTCTTGCCGTATGCAAGCAATCAATTAATATAACCTGTGTGTCAGAACAGCCATATCCACTGTGACAAGGCCTGTTTTAAAATCAGTCAATCAGTTTGTCCGTACATCTCCATGCAGTCTCATGTAATTACTGCTAAAAATGATAACATTGTTTAAAAGACAGTGAAACTAATTTCACATATTTCTACACAATATACTAAGTGTTTGATTGGATCTGCATTTCTCCTGAAATTCGTTTAGTGTATAAAATCAAAGCGATTTTATTACTGATTAAGCGTGATTGTATGGTTCATTTTTAAGTGGCTTTCTAGATGTTTATTTCAGAGCTGTGAGGTAGTGAATGAGCCCAAAGTAATTAAAAGCAATGGCCTGTGTATATAATGATGTATATAATATATATTTCTTTTCAATTTGTGCCTGTATTTAGCCTTAAATTTCTGGTCACAATATTTTCTGCCAGAATTCTGACCCATGAATCAGGACAGTCAATGATGTAAAATGAAGTAGAATGAAAAGAAAGAAACATTATGGACATTATGGGAAATATGAGCTAAATAATCAGACTGAAATACGGCAGCGCCATGAAATAAATTACATGAGAATGTCAAGAAAAGTTACTGTTTAAATTACCATTTTTTTTTCAGGTAAGATAGAAGTAAAAATTCCACATGGAGTGAATGCAAAGACATGCTTTCCTTCATTTACAAGATTACTGTTTCTATTTGTACTGAAAACTGCTTTCACGTTCACATTGACTGCAATAATGTCCATTCGCGACTGATGTGCGCATCAGAATCTCTACTGCCTTAAATTTCCAGTACAAACAGCTTTTCAGTGAGGCACAGCCCCAAATGACAAATCATCTTCTTGCTTACCCTCAGACATCTGCGCTACACTCTTCTTGGTCCAGAGAAAGCTCATTTGAACAGCTCTCTCTCTCTTTTTTTTCATCTCCTTCCTCTACAGTAGCCTTCAGAGCAGATCTCCCCTTTGCCTCTCTTTTGTTGCTTCTCAGTGCCAGGCGATGTTGAGGTAAATTGAATTTGGCAAACAAAGTGGGGGGAAACGAGGAGAATTCAGAGTCTTTCTGATTTGGTTTAGTGAGTGGTGGTGTACCACTGCCAGCTGTTGGTGCCTTTCATCAGAGAAGAGAGAGAAAAGTCTCAAATAAAGAATTCCTGTAGTTGCAAGTCTCTGTAAGGAGTCTCCAACCCGAGCAGCCAATATCCCAATGGATAGAAAAGAGGAACAGCCAATATTCACACATATATAAGAGGTCATTTACACAGCATTGTTACTTTTGGCACAATGATTTTAAGATTATAATTATCTTTTTTTCTTTTTTTTTCTTTTTTCTTTTTTGCAAATATTGCATGTCCCTGTACAACAACATTGACAAAAATACTCTGAGGGTGGAGCTTTTATGAATTTGCAAGGCGTAAAAATGTTAATTTAGATAACCAGTTCCTCTAAACTCCAGAAGAAGAAAACAAAAACTTGACAAAAGGAAAGGGGTAGCCATTCCAACTTTGAGGGGGGGGGGAAAAGACAATGTCTGATATGTCATCAATACAAAATGGTCCCATCTCGTGTTTAAGATGTCTCGGGCTTAAATTGGGCTCATTTATTGAAGGTTTCCCTCTTGAAATGAGCCAGGCAGTGTATGACGGACAGCAACAACAGGACATCCATATTCTGCATACAAAAACAGATGAGGAGGAGGGGTGCGTAGATGTCACTCAATGCATTTATGTATATAGCTACATCTTTAGGGAAAAGGGAAATAAATATGTAATTCAGGGAAGCTAGTTCTGCTGAGAAAATACAAAAACAAAGTTCCTCAAAAAGGCGACAGAACTTTTTTCAAGGCTTATTTCTCTTTTTCAGACAAAAATCAAACAAAAAAGGAAAGGAGAAAAAAAAACGACTATAAGAAGAACAAACAAAGCAGAAACAACAAAAGCAAGAAAAATGCAGCCATGGTCGTTTCAAATCTCAATCAAGCTTGACACAATCACTCAATAGGTAGTTTGCAAAGTACAAGAAGTTTCTCATGCAGATATTAATTTCCTCTTCAGGGGGTTAAAAGGAAGTGGGAGTAGTCAGGGGGGAAACGTAGAACTCATGCAGCTCTGGCATAGCGTCAGTGTAGGTATGTTTGGGAGGGAGGGCTGAGCAGGTAGTGGGGGAAAGTGAGAGGGGGAGGGGAGGGGGTACAACAGCAGCTGATAACAAAATATTACCTCAGTTTCTCAAAAGAGGTCATCAGTGCTATGTCCTTATTTGGGTCTCTCTCAGCTCGCTTCCCCTTCAGTGTCTCAATCCGAGGGAACTTTGCACTCGTCTTGTGGCGGTACAGCTTTTTGTGAGCAGGCCCGGGGTTAATAAAGTTGGGTTTATCAAACATGTTACAGCCTAGAGCAAGTTGAGGGAATAAAGAATGAGAGGGGTTGAATTTGGCCTGGTTTTTGCCTCCTTTCCCCCCTGCCTTTCTGCCTCTCCCAGCCCCTGTGAGCACAGCTCCTTTTTTCTTCAGGTCAGCCTCAGTACCTGCCAAGATTTTGAGGGTCTTTAGGTTGAGACTGTTGGCCTCAGAGGGCATGCAGGCCTCCGACATGGGGTTCCACAGTGGCTCAATGGAGGCCATCATGAACCTTTGGACCTCAGCCATGCCAGAGACAATGTTGGACAGAATATTGGAGGGCTCCTCAAATTCTCTCTGGTCATCCCCCACCAGGCTGTTACTCTCCGACCATCCGGTGCCAGGCCAGTCCCCAGTGCTGCTACTGTCAGTCAGGCCTGTACCACCTGCCTGGTTCTTTGCTGCTTTACCCTCTAACATGGCCTTTATCTTTTTGGTGGAGCGAGAGTTCTGTTTGGGAGTCTTGACCTTCTCTGACTTGGGGGCTCTCGGAGCCCGGACCTTTTTCGGGCACTGTCCTCCTGCTGTTTGTTTGCAGCTGCCTTTCCTTTTTGACTTTATGCTTTTCGCTCCATTCTGTTCATCAAATTCTGTAGCTGCCATCTCTTTTTTATCTAAACCTAAGACATCTTGATTGTTGAAGTTGTGTAGCGGAAACTGGTTGTCCTCCACCGGGTATGCGCTTGCCGTGCGCTCCTGTTGCTGTATGACATCACAGTTCCACTTTACCTCCCTATTGCAGTCCATGCTTATATCATTCACATCCTGGTATTCTCCAACATTTCCTGCCATCTTCATCTCACGCCCAACAACCTGAGGGGACAGATTTGGGGTCTCAGGAGGGGAAAGCTCTGAGAGTGATGAGTGCCTAAACTTGTCAGGGGTGAAGTTAGAGATATCCAGCAGGTCTGAGGACTCCCTGAGTGGGGTAAGGGCATCCACACTCTGCTGAATCACCACTTTAGGACTGCAATGAGCTAAGAAGCTGTCTCGGCCCTCCTCCTCACCCTCTCGCTCACAAGACTTGAGGCTGAGTGAGCTGTAATTGCTGGAGGAGGCTGACAGAGAGCCCACTGAGTCATAGCTGATGAGCCTGCCATTGTCTGTGCACAGGGACCCTCGCTGGTATTGCACCTGGCCCTCCACGCAGGCAGACTGACACACTTGCAGATCTGCCCCGGGCTGCAGCCCAGACTCACTCAGGTAGCTCTTCTCATAAAGCAGCCTGTCAGCCTCAGGGCTCAGCTGGCTGTAGTTAGACACTGGCAGACTGTCATTCAGGGGAACAGCAGCTGGGAAGTTGTTGGGTAAGATGGGAGTCTCGGGCGTCTCAGACCCAAAGCTCTGGCTGTGACTTGCACAGAGCTGTGGGTGCCACATCTGGGGGAAGCTGGGGCAGTTCTGAGGAGACTGCTGGAGCTCGGACTCAGAGGGAGGCGAGAGGACGCAGCTCTGAGCGAGCTGCAGAGAAGAAAACTGTTTCTCCTCCAGGGACAGCCCAAGAGAATACTGCTGCCTAGAGGACTGCTGGGGGAAATAAGAGATAGCTGCTCCACCTGAGGAGTCTGTGGCATCTAACAGGGTCTGCAGGTAGCCCCCCGGGATGACAGGGACACCCGTCTCCACCTCCTCTGAGGAGGAGGCAGCTTTGTCAGGAGAGCAGGTGGATGAAACAAAGGGGAATTTCTCCTCAGCGGCTTGAGCGGTGGCGGTATTGTCAGAGAAATGTGGTTTGACTGTAGTTGAGCTAATGCCTGCCTCATGTAACCCAGCAGTGGGGTCCTCAATCTGTGCCGCAGTGACACAGGCATCCGTTTCATTCGTCACACTCCTCCCCTCCTCTCCTTCTGCCTCTTTTATTTTCTTGCTCCTCAGTCTGGCTTCGCTTTTGAATTTCCTTATCCTGACTATTTTATTTCCTCCCAATCTCCTCCCCTCCCTCTCCTCCCTCTCCTGGGAGCGGCTCTTGGCTGTGACTGTGTGTGTGATGGAGTTTGTGTCTAATGTGACTGGGAGGCCTGTGGCTGCTATTATTCCTCCTACCGTGGGGGTGGCCTCTTCTTTAGTGACACCTCCCTGGCCCCGATCAGAGAGAGGGAAGGACTGTGCTGTTGCTGATTGCTCCACAGTGTGAATCCTCTGAACCTTAAGCCGGTTTGCAATCTTGTATTTCCTTTTGGGATGACTAGAATTAAAAGGGCGATGGTGGCGTCCGTTTAGATGAAAACCGCGTTGTTGTTTATCTCTGGCAGCCAGCTTAAGCTGTTCCTGTCTCTCTCTTTGCTTCTCCTGCCAGAAATGCTTCAGAGGAGCCAGTGTCTCATATTTGCTTACTGTGTCGGCATTTAAGCTCACAGTCGCATCCACAGGGTCCAGCTTGCCCAGTTTCACTGACATGAGTCTCTCTCCTTTAAACCTGTTGATGATGATGTACTTGATGACCACAGGTGGCTCTTTGCGGCAGGATTTCCGGCGTTTTTTGGGGCACCAGTCTACATCCTCCTCTTCTTTCTGACCAGCAGGGGCTTTCTCCTTTTTCTCCGCATTTTTCTCACTCTCAAGCGAGTCGACATCATATAAGTAATCATCGCTGTATCGAACCTTTCTTTTGGAACGCAAGCCATAGTTGAGAGGGTTCGAGGGACTGAGGAATCTCTTTGAGTGGCTCTTTTTAAACTTTCCCTCCTGCAGGGTGTCTGAGGACGAGCCAGTGCAGGAGCTGTCATCACTGAACTCCCCTGACTCCTCTGTGGAATTGAAGTCCATTAGGTAGCTGACTTTGGGAGTGGACATAGGCGAGCCGTGGGAACCATCAAGTGGACTCCTAGCACTGCAGTCCCCGGCTTTTCCTTCCTGTGCTCCCTCCAGGATCAGTTCATCAGTTTTGGGCTGAAGATCCTCCGCGGTTCTCCTCAAGACTGCTGCTCCTTCCTCTTTCTTGGCACAGTTGGCCAGGACACTGGGGAAGAAGTTGAACTGCGTCTCTTCCTGCAGAACATTTGTTTTTTCCCTCATGTTGTCCTGGAAAGACTCATAACGAATCTTGAGCGAACAGACATCACTGCTTAATGTTGAATCGTCGTCTTCATCGTCAAACAGATTGTCGACATCTTCCTCTGAGAAGAGGTTGACCGACAGTTCATTCTTAGAACAAAGGTCCAGCAGTTCCATCTTACTCTCACTGATAAAAGACTCAAAGTAGCCCCAGTCCTGGCTGGCGTTAGCCAGGAGAACTTCTTCTCCACTAACCTTGTCTAGTAACAGTCCTTCATACAAATTCTTAGCTGTTGCATCATCTTCCGGGTCATCGCAGTCCCCTGTTGTTTTGTTTGCATCCCCTCTCTTGCCCTCACCTGGGGCTTTTGGCAGAGGAAAGCTAAGTAGCTGGTCAGAGAGGAGCTGTTCTCCATAGTGACTCACTGCCTCCCCCGCGTGGCTCAGGCACTGAATGCTGATGTTGTTGATGTCAGAGAAGTCCTCTCGGCTCACATCCCCTATCCTTACACTTAGACCAGTCTCCGTGTCAGGGTTGGCGGTGGGGTCGTGGGGTGTGTTCTGGATGGCGTTAGGGTCAGTGGCATCACGTGTTTCAATGAAGCAGCCGAGGCAAGTTCGGTTAGGCTGAAGAAGACACTCCTCCGTCAGGCCAGACACAGTGCCAGGCTCCATCATTGTCGCTGATAGAGGGAGGGCAACGGGTAATGGAAGGGACGTTTTCTGGTTGTCTCCTGTCGGCGCCCAGGAGCTTACAGCTGGGCTAGAGAGTGATGAGGGAGCGGGCGTGTGGTGAAGATGGGGAACCACAGTTGGAGGGTCATTGGAGGAAGGGGCTACTGTTAGGCCCAGAGTGGGCTCAGTCCCAAGGGGCAAGGGGAGGGCTGGCGATGTAGGAGTGGTCCTCTGATGCGCTGGGCAGGCCTGTTGTGAAGTCTCTGCGGCAGGTGGAGGCGAGGACGGAGGGAGAGCAGCATCGACGAGCCCGCACAGACTCAGATCGCTACTCTGCTCACATAGCCCTGCAGGGGGAAAAAAAAGAAAAAAGATTTCAGCTCTTTGGAATGTAAGTGTGAAGTTAAATTACATTGTTTTCGTTCTTTTAGTTACTGCGACGTTCTTCTAAGCTGCTCAGACGCAATTAGTGTCAATTAACCCCCTAGAGCTCAAAATGTCATTTCATGATGCCAGCCTTAAACATTAATAATTCAGTTTTGGTTCCAGATTCAATAAAAGGTATTAGCAATGTCAAGTTGGACAATTCCTTACTCATTACTTGCTTGATGTTCACATGTGAAAGCCGAGACTCGGCGAGTAGCAACACAGCCATAAAGAAATCCCACCAAACTCTGAGAGCACTTAAAACAAAAAGAAGATCAAAGATGAAATGGAGTCACCTTTATGTAATGTTAGCATGCTGGCAAAAGTGAAAGATATACAGAGCTGCAAGAATTTTAATTGGCTTATTTGACAGAACAAAACGAGCAATTGTATCACATGCTTGCAGGTGATAATGCAAAGAGCCTGTTGTCGTTCCTGCCCGAGCAGTATATACGAGATCAAATTAATGCAGCCACCTTGCTTTATGTCTCCCACCCTGCAGTGTTTCTGTGCAGACGCAGATCTACTAGCTTTTAAGTAACAAGATACCATTAAATTACACAGACCGACCGAAACAATGACTCAAATAAAAGTAGATTTTGGTGATTTTCCACAGGTCACTTGTGACAATGTCTTAATCAGTTGAAGACATCCATCTGATGAGTAACAATCAAAACTCGCAGGAGTGGCTCGCAGCAGCAGGCAGATCGCTGTGTTTGCTCTGCATAATTAGATGACAGCAGCGGAGGCAGGTATGTACACATGGGACACGACAGGCCCATATGTTGGAGACTGTATAACCAATACCATCCACACCTGCCTCCCTCTATAATCCCAAGCTGCTGCCTTCCAGATATTCTTTAAAACGATGCCAGGGAGAGAAAAAAATAAATAAAATTGAAAACCCTAGCACAGCAATTAATGTGTTCACAGAGGTTAACTAGCAACAACCCCCATTTTAGAATGGATGCGCCTAATCATTATTGAGGTAGTGATAAATGCTTGAGGGGAAGACTGCTTAGCAAACCGTATTCAGCGTTGCTGTATTGGCGGTGAGTAAATCTTTGAATATGGATATGATTTGAGAGTGATTTAATGAGGTAATGAAATTTCTGAGAGCTGGTCTCTATGGGTCTGCGGCCTGCAGACACACCGGAGCAGCCACAGTGCTTACTAAAAGCATGCGACTACGGTACTGTCACTCTTAATGAAGAAAGCCTCTAGAGAAATATCCATCCTCTCTTTCCCTCTCATCGTCAGAGAACTGTTATAGCAGCAACTCGTCAGAGGCTGCAGAAGCATCACAGCGAGGCGTTCGCCATCAGGTCCTCTGAGTCTGTGAGCCAAAATGACCTCAGAGCTAAAGCATGGGACTGACACATGTTCTCTGCGGAGAGTCATGACAGATACCCTTTTTCTTTATTTAAGATAGAATACTAGCAAATTTACACGGTCGCTTACTGTAAAGAGGAGGACTACAAAAGGAAACGCTTTCCATTCGTGAGCACACTTCATCGTGAATTACATGTAAACAGAGCAGATTTCCAGCACGCGGAGACAAGACAAATATAAAGCAGAGATTAGTTATCGCTCGCCCTACAAAGGTGCGAAGCCACCGAAATGAGGAAGTTACAGGAAAAGGGAAAGAGGTTATTAACTTCCTTCATCCCTCTGTGCTCACGTGTAACTTAAGCTGCCACCAAATATCGCCGAAAGATTGGTCAAAATTGCCGTGAAACATTAAACTCATATTGAGAAATGTGTTTCCTCGGGGTTTATAATGGATTAACAATCTATCCTGTCCAATGTGTGTGTGTGTGTGTTGTATGTGCTGAGCGGGGCAGAAAGTGTGTGTGTGTGTGTGTGTGTGTATGAGAGGGAGAGTGATAGAGTGTGAGTATTGGCTTGGGGGTATAGTGTTATCGAGAGGCCATCTGTCTCCAGCTGGACCATTAGCTCTTCAGCTGTTCAGAATGTGCCACAGATCAGTCAGTCAGACAGGTATACAAACACACACACACACACACACACACACACTGGGTCTTACAGCGATGACTGTAGCTGACAAATCGAGTTTGACATTTGGGGTCAAAGGGGGGATCGGCAGCTTCCTATTCACTGATATGGTACAACATAATGTTACTACAATATCTGAGCTGGCAAATGTAAACAAGATACACATCCAAAATAGTCACTGCTGCCAGAATCCAATATTTAGCTTACAGAAAGAGTAGCAAAAAAGAAAAAACAAGCTTTATACACTCTGAGATCCTGCAAGCACGGCTGTACTTTTCTAATGGTGTTATCGGGAGAGAAGCTCTTCGAATAGAAACCGAGGCTGGATGTGACATGGCTCATGCAATCTGGCGTGGACATTCACCACTGAGCATATGGAAGGACCCCGGCTGCTGGCAGGTGGTGGTGATCTTCTGATTCCCAACACTGCCAAGCCCAGCCATGCTAGACAGCCCGATCACTGCCAAACTAGACCAGACCAGACCAGACCAGTTAGCACTCGGAGCTCTCCGAGACACATCTCTTTTTCTAGCCATAACATTCGGGGCTTCGTCCACCTGAGGTAGGCCCAGGCTGCTTTGTGCCAGGCAGCTCTGCACGGTAACAAGCCCATGCCGAGGGACACGGTCATGGACATGAGGGGAGAGACTAGTTGGCGCCTGTGTGCCTATCTATTAGTGTGTCAGATGCCACACGTGCGCATACACGTGTATGCCTTTTTTCTCTTTAATTACATTCCAATTAGAGCTACATTATAAAGCAAAGAAAGCAGAAAAGCCTAAGAATAACAGAAACACCTGTCACTGACATTAAATTAAATTCATGCATTTTCTCCAAAGGAATGGCCAAAGGAACACATTTTTCAGCTATCACAATACGACACACAATGCAAATGAAAACAGCTGACATGGCCTTTTCCCCTTTTGCGATGGCTTTTAGAAAGCATTCCTTTTCCCATCCCCCTTTTCATCCCTTCTTCCACCCTTTTTTCCTTCCAACTTCCTGCTTCTTATCCCCATTACATGGAGGCTTTTACAATCGTAAAATGCAGAGCTAGCCATTCTGCAGCTCAGCCACCCGGGGCGTTCAGTCATCCAGCTGGTAGGCCAGCCACAGAAGCCGCTTGCTCCATCTT